CTGTGCCAGAAATAGAAGATGGATAAGGAGATGAGAGGGTTTAGTAAGCACAGGGCAGCCATGCTTCTCCCAAGGATGTGAAACCACTGACGAGTTTTAGTCATAGAAGAATTGATTTAAGAGATAGAGATAGAGATAGAAATCCCCATCAGTTGCTTCTAAGGAGTGCAAGAAAGCAGAGCCCATTGTGTTTTGAAAAGACCCGGCCTGATAATGAATTGAATGTGGGAGAGTGAAAGAAAAGGAGAACTCAAGCTTGACGCCTATGGTTTTGGCTCCAAGAACTGTTTACTAAGGGGAGGGGTTTACCCTGGGCAGGAGCAGTTTGGGGAGGAAGATGATGTATTCAGATTTGGGTAGTCGGTCATGGCTGGGGATCCCATGAAAAAAAGCCATGGATGCTGGAGCATTCTCTCAGGCTGTAGGAGACCCCGGTTCCATTCCATGGTCCTGCAGTAATCCCGGGAACAGCCCATTTGAGGTGTGCCTCCCCACCGAAAAAGCAGCATGCTTCATGATGTACTTGAAACATTTATATCTCTCTCATCTGCTTTTAGTCTCTTAAGAATTGAAAGAATAAATCCAGTTGTTTTGTCCAACAGATTGTCTCTTCTAGTGTTGACCAAAAGAAGAATCAGTGAGACTGGAGACAGAATACACTGGCGGGGGGGGGGGGGGGGCGGGGGGGGGGGGAGAGGCGAGTGGGTAGGGCACATGCCTCACACGCAGCCAACCCAGGATCAATTCCTGGCTCCACATATGGTGCCCTAAGCCCCACCAGGAGTGATCACTGAGCTCAGAGCCAGAAGATAGTTCAGGGTACCACTGGGTGTGGTACCAAAACAAAACTGCCAAAAAGGAAAATTTTAAAAAGAACAGGCAATTTTCTTATTGTCTTAGCTTTATTTTCAATATGTAAGCACAAAAATCCTACCAAAGCAAAATCTGATCCCATGCATCTGTATTTAAAAAAAAAAGATTTGATGAAAGTTTTAGGTTTGAAAGTGATCCAAATTCCCTCTGTATATGATCCAAATTCCCTCATTATACAAATAGAAAACAGCACCAGGGTGGATGTGAGTTTTTCAAGATGATGTATGCAGGCAGTTTAGAGTTGGCGTCATACTCAGTACTCTAGCTAGGCACTCTTGGTTTCCATGACTTTTTATTGTTTCCCCCCGCCTGTGAATAGCCCCCAGTTTAAAAGTACCTCTGACTAATTTGTTTCTTAAGGAATGAACAGTGTCTGCTCTGGTTTCAGAGCCAGAATTTTTAGAGCCTTTTTTTTCCCAAAACTATATAATCTACATGGTAAGAAATAACTGAAAGAAAATTCTGATCTCGGATTAAGGCACTTTAAAACATCCCATGGTTCTTAGGTTCATGAACCCCTTTGACTTTCAAAACAGTGACTCTATGGCATGTGAATGGAATGTTCAATTTTATTCGTTTCAGTTTCTTTAGATTCCAAGTTCAAGAGCTTCTATTAGACCACTTGGGCTTTTTAAAACATGGGAATCAGTCTAAAGAGAAATTCAGGAATCTCTTCATTCTCACAAATGAGTACCATAGATTACTAGGGACTCAATAGTCACAACTAAGTTAACTTTTCAAACCCTTACCTGACTCTGTCTGCTGATGCGTTAGTCACCATTGACTCATGTTGTATTTAGCCTGGTGACACACTCTCCAGAACTTTTAAATGGTGGGAGACTAGAATTGAATTAGAAATTATATCTCAGCAAAAGCATTTCCTTCTTAAAAAACATTAAAAAAATGCCCCACCTAGATGTTGCTTGAGCCCTGGGTAGATAAAGGATTAGACTTTTCTTAGTTAATGCTTGGTCAGAGAGAAGTCTGTTTCATAGATGCAGGCCTAGAATGAATGTATCTAATTTTAAAAAGAATGGTGGAGCCAAGGAGGAGGGAGAAAATCCTAGCCACTCTCCACTTTCAGATGCTGCACAGATGAAGAGAGGCTCTGTGTACTGAGAACATAAGCAAGGGTTACTCTGTAGTCCTGGTCCGAGAAGGTGGAAGCCCTCAGCCCTCTCTTTTTTGGTTATGTTGAGAGGGAGCTAGAAAAGTCCTCTCTGCCTGACACAAGCTGTTGGTTTTTCTCTCAGCTTCCCCTTTTGCCCCTCACTTCCCTGACATTCATATCCCTCAAATTTCTTCCACACTGAAACTTTCTCTCAGAACCTCTGTGAGAGCTACTTGAGCACAGAGATCTTAATCTCATCTGCCTCTCTATTTTTGCATTCAAGATGGCTTGGTGCCTGGTTCTGACAGACAGGCATTTGGTAAATAGCTGTATAAATAGGTGAATAAACACCTTCTCCAGATGCCCTTCAGAGATGGTTTTTGTTAGCGAGAGTCTGGTGGTTCACCTGTAAGTCCGTCAGAGCCTCACCAGGAAGTCGTCAATGAACATTGCTTCATGGCTTCACATCACTTCAGAACTTTTTGGTAACACAGAAGCCACGCAACCCACTGTGCATTAAACCAATTTTTGTTACCCTCACATTCATTGACATGACCCCATATGGAGTTATGTTTAGGAAATTGGGCTCAAGGTAATTTGCTCGGTCTGTAGAAGAAACTGTGCTTCCTCCTGACAAATTTAAGTGGAGTTGCTGAGAGGTTTGCTGTGGAACCGGGCTGCCTGGGTCACATCCTCTAACCTTGCTGCTCTTGTCAGTTACTGATCCTTGGCATGCTTGGTTCATTCATCTGTAAAGCAAGGCTTGTAGCATCACCTGTTTTTTATAGGACTATTTTGAGCATTAAGTAGTAGCTATGGGTATTGTGTTAAGAATCATACGAGGATCTCTGTGCTCAATAAATGCTTGTCTAAGGTAATGATGATGATGGTGGTAATGGCATTTGATCAATAATGCCATAGGGTATTTTTGTTTGATTTTTAACAAAAAATAAAATTTAAAAAAGTTTATTTTAAAAATATTTTAAATAATTATTTTATATAATTATCATATAAATTATAAATTAAATTTATATAATGTATGATGTTATTATATTATAATGGCAGCAATGGTAGACTATATTTGAAAAAATAATGAGAACATATATTAAAACGAGTCAAAACTTTAAAATATATACTATATTAAAAGCAAATATCTTACTATTAGTGTCATATGCTCTTGAAGCATATATATGATATATGATATTAAATAATATACAATATTATATATATACTAAATTATAGAATTAATTTATATAATTTAGTTTATGCTAGAAATTAAAATTTAAAAATAATTATTAAAATTTGTTTTTAAAATATTTAACAAAAACATAATATTCTCTATTCTTAATCTATTTTATATAAATTTTTAAACTATTGTTTTCTTAAAATGAAAAATCAAAGCATCTTCCAAAATATTCTAGGGGCTGAGGATATAGCTCAGAGGTAGAACCTATAAACTTCTAAGGTATCATGCTCTCAGGTTCATTTCCTGGTACAAAAAAATTACAAAAGAGGAAACTCTGTTTTGGTGGTTTATCTTTGGGCCATGCCTAGCCTTTGCTCAGTGGCTGCTCCCTGCTCAGTGCTCAGGCATCACTCCTGGTGGTGCACGACTGGTGCTTCCTGCAGGAAAGCAAGTGCGCAGCCTATTGATCTACCCCTCCAGCACCTATGTTTTATTGTTTTCTCCATAAATTCCAACCTTCAAAATTGAAACTTCCTTACATATTTTGTAAAGGGAAAGAAAATATGGTAAAAATCCAACCCAACCCAACCCAGCACAGAAGATATTTCCTTACAATCCTATTTTCTTGATTTTTTTTAAAAAAACTATTTCACATAGAACTTAGTTACACTTCACGTGTCCTCTTCCCATCTGTTTTTTTTTTTTTTTTCAAAAAAATGGAAAGTCCATAAATGGCAGACTTAGAATTTTTTTTGTCAGTAAGAATTATTTTATCAGCTTGAAGTACAGGGAGAAAAAACAAAAGAAAAACCTTCCATTGCAATCCACACCTTTAATTGATGATTTTCTTTGTAGCCTGGGTGGAGAGATAATCTACCAAAAAGTAAAAATTTAAGCCTAATCTGTTAACTATGGCAATTTTTAAAATTACTGCTAACGTACTAACAATACTGTTTATAGTTTTCTAGTTGTCTAAGGTTTTCATTTTCTTTATGATCTTCAGATTGTCTGTTCTGAAAAATGCACTGGTAGGTTGGACAGTGTCTTTAAGATCTCAGGAAGGATCTTAAAGGAGGAGCGCCTAAAGACAAGATGTCTAGCGTGTGTGTGATAGGTGTGTCCGTGAAGGAACTTCAGTTCTGTATAAGTGATTTGTCCTATTTTCATTCCACTGGAGCCTGCTAGTCCTCCATTTCTAGGAAGTTGCAGGCTCGCAGAGTTAGTTCTTTTGTTAGTGATATAATTCAATATTAATTCTGAATAGACCAATATTTTTGGGCTTGATTTTGGGCCACACCCAGCAATACTCAGGGATTACTCCTGACTCTACACTCAGGGATCACTCCTGGCAGTGTTCAGAGGACCATGTGGGATGCTGGAAATTGAACCCGGGCCAACCACATGCAAGGCAAGCATTTTACTACTCAACTGTCTCTTTCCAGCCCCCCAAACCAATTCTTTACTAATGGCTTCATTACAGTTTTGGTAGTATGAGTAATAAAGCCTTCTTGGGTCATATGAATAACACTAGTAAGTAGAAGAAATAGAAGAAAGAAATACACAGTGGTTTTCAAAAAAATAAAGGTGCTTGGCTTGAAGGGAATACAGAGTTGAATGAAACTTACAGTAGATGCCATAAATCAGAATGATTTAAATAAAAGGGAAAAAGGGAATGTGGTTGGTCTGTCTAGTGTGTTTTGATCTTTTAGTCATCTGCGTCATTCCATACTTATTTTAAGTGCTGCATTTTGAATTAACAGTGGGCTCCAGCCTGATGTGCTGCTAGTGGTGATGGTAATTGTTGGAACACTTCTTTCTTGTGCTTTCTAGATTTTCACCAGATGGAAGACTAATTGTATCATGCAGTGAGGATAAAACTGTTAAAATTTGGGATACAGCCAGTAAGCAGTGTGTTAACAACTTTACTGATTCTGTAGGGTAAGCTCATTCTCTTTGTGCATTTATCTGGGTTGCTTAGCTAAGAAGACATTTGATTATTTTAATTAAAGAAAGAATCAAGGAGAAAGAAACCTAAAATATCAATTTTTTCCCCAGGTTTGCAAATTTTGTGGATTTCAATCCGAACGGTACATGTATAGCTTCAGCAGGTTCTGATCACACGGTGAAAATCTGGGATATAAGAGTGAACAAATTACTCCAGCATTATCAAGGTAACAATTTCCACAGCAAAGCTTATGCAGCTGTTGAATGAGCTCCTCCGGGAAACTGAAATGGACAGATCATACTTCTCAGTATGGACTGCACCTCCTAATGAGAGTCAGGACTTGCCTTTAAACTGACTCGAGAGTCACTGATTCTCATTGAGGGCAAGAGGGTCATATAAAGGTGCAAGAGTACAGAAAGAGATAGCGAGACCATGACAGTGAGGCCAAACTGAGTAAAGTTCAAACTGTAAGGGTTTGTCTTCTCTAGGAGATACCTGGGATAGAATTTATCTCAGTTCATATAAATAAGTAGTAGGGGCCGGAGAGATAGTACTGTGTAAGGTGCTTGCCAGAGTTCAATCCTTTGCATCCCATATGGTTCCCTAAGCACTGCCAGGAGTAATTCCTGAGTGCAGAGTCAGGAGTAGACCCTGAGCATCACTGGGTGTGGCCCCAAAACAAAACCAGAAGAAATCAAACAAAACCCAAAAAAAATCCCCCCCCCAAAAAAAATAGTAGAAAACAGTATTTTAGTGTGCCTATAAATACAATTAAAAGAGAAATGAATCAATGCTTTGCTTTATATTGGATTTACATTTTATCTGCATTTCCCCTTTTTAACAAGGTACATGTTCAATGTAACTGACATTGTGCTAAATTCTCCTAACATCCCTAAGTTCCATGGTAAAAATAAGAAATTGAGACAAAGAGTTTAAGCAACTGTTCAAATAATTCAGAGCTGCCTTGGATCTTTGCCCTGTATAGGGAAGGTTAAACATTTGATCATTGTATTATACTGCCTCCTATTGGAATGACAGTAGTATTCAGAATTCAGAAAGTTTTCAGTATTCAGAAAGGCTTTCCCAAACAACTCATTGTTTGGGAGGAATGCCTCATTTCCAGGTATCACCCTTAGTCCCAAGCCACTAATTGGTAACCTATCAAATTTGGCTTGAACCATTTATTAAGTTCAACTTGTCTAGCTTGTATACTTATATGATCTAGTGGAAAATTCAACTATATATTATATTGGTAATAAGTCTTCATTCCTGAAGACTTTATAGTTATGTGGACAGTAAGATCCCCTTTCTTGACACACTCACTTTTAAAGCTATACTGTCTCATTTGCTGGAAGCTTAACAAGTTAAGATGATAAACTACCTATTCACACATTAGTGTGCTATTTGGAATTCTGGTGTTGTGGAGATATTGCCTTTAATAAATTTCTGCTGTCAACTAGTATTGTTAATACATGAAAGGAACATCTTTATTATTGAGAATTGTTCTCTAGTTTTACTTTTATTTTCTGCAAATCAGTTCACAGTGGTGGAGTTAATTGTGTGTCATTCCACCCTTCGGGAAACTATCTCATCACTGCTTCTTCAGATGCTACGCTTAAGATTCTGGATCTTTTAGAAGGAAGGCTCATATATACGCTTCAGGGACACACGGTACTGATATTAAGATATTTGCTTTTAATATAGTATATATTTTAAAGTTTTGATCTACTTTTAATAAATTTTTTCATTATTTTCCCAAATGTAGTACATGTAGCAGCCATCAAACACCCCTTTCAAGTCTTTTTTTTTCAGTCCTCTCTAAGCAATTCTTAGGAATATTAGTATTGTAATTCTTGTCAAAAATCAGAACATATCTTTCAATATCCATAAAATATCCACTCCAGTATGTGGTATAGTAAAAGGTAAAGGTAAAGGTCCTCCCGTTGATCATCGATTTGCTCGAGCGGGCCCAGTAACGTCTCCATTGGAGACTTTGTTGTTACTGTGTTTGGCATATTGGAATACATCACGGGTAGCTTGCCAGGCTCTGCCGTGCGGGCGAGATACTCTCGGTAGCTTGCCGGGCTCTCCGAGAGGGGCGGAGGAATCGAACTCGAATTGGCCATGCTGGCTGTGTGCAAGGCAAACGCCCTACCGCTGTGCTATCGCTCCAGTATTGTATAGTATTATATTTATATATTACTAATAATTTATATTGTACTTAACTGGTTAACTTGTTGTAAATGCCCTTTTTCTTGATGTGGCAACTGTTTCACTAGCTCTCACACTGTCTTTACTATGTTCTCTGACTTTTCTTGGGAGGCCTGCCTGGGTCCAGTTTAGTCAAATCAAACTCGTCTGGGATTCCGTTCTAGAAAGTCCATTTGTGCACAAATGAACCCACATTCTCTTTTTTGTAAGCCTCAATCAGTATAAAAGATATCTGGGTTTTAGTGTATCTTATTTATTTATTTTTTCAGTTGACTTTAGAGCCTCTTCTGGAGAAATGGCTTATTCAGACATCACCCACCCCCCCTTGACTCCCCCCTCCCCACCTCAACATCTGTGCCATTGTATAATGTACCAGAGAACAACTTGTTTTTGAAAGTTCTTATTTATTGGCAAGTTCAATGAATACAAGAATGTAGGTACTCTGTAGATGATACAGATTAATACTATCTGTTTATGATTCAGTTCAATAAATATTTATTGAAGCCTAAAGAGTCATTTTGGACAAATTATCTACTTATATAAGAAAACTTTAAACTATGCCTCCTTTCTGGAAGTTCTCAAAATTTGGGAAGGCATCCTTTTAAGATAAATAAGTAAATAAAGGCTTAGTTGGTACTTGCCTTTAACCAAGTGTAAGATGCACTGCGGTTTTTGTGGTGCAGGGGAGAAGAGGTTCTCTCTGTTTTCATCTATCATGTGCTTCACTTCCTCATTTGCTCAGCAGCTGTGTTTGAGTGAAATAGAAATAGATACTAACTAGCTCCTATTTGTGTAACCATGGATTTAGGGTGAATAAACAATCAATAAAAGCAGATCAGAATTTATAGAAAAATAAATTCCTGGGAAGTACAGGTTAATAGGGAAAAAAAGTTTTAAAATATTTTAGGAGAAAAACATTGTACACAGGATAGAGTTTTTCAGAGTTTGGAAAGTGTTTATGAGGATATAATAACCTCACTCTGTGGGTTAGTCTGCTCAAAAAATACAAGATTCCCCCCCCCCCAAAAAAAAAAAAACATTTCTTCTACCAATGAGGAGCATATAGTCTCAAGTAATATTCATATATTTTAGAATAAAGAGAATAATTGCTCCTGTCTGGACTGGCAGACTAAGAGGTTGGGCCCCGTGCTTGTACTGTCACTGTACATGGGACATTGCAGTCACTACTCAGCTGCATACTGTCCTCATTGCTCACTCAGATTGTTCTAGTAACTTCCTCACTGGCTTTCAGCCACTCCTTGCTCTGATCCAACATTCCCACAGTTGTAATTTCAGTTTTCATCAATTTCGGCTCACCTCTTCAAACTTTCAGTGACCTACTTTTGCCCGAGTGAAGGGAAAACTTCGCGAAGATCGTTGAGATCTGAAAATGGCCTTTGTTCCTGGCACCCATGTAGTTAGTCAGATTCTACCAGTGATTTGTTTTTTAAAGATTCCCCCGCCAGAAAGCCTTATTAGAGATCCTTTTGAACTTGCACATGACAAGCTTTTTATCTTTAATGGAAATAAAAGTGCATTTTCTTATCTTCAAAGAATGTACTATCAATATGTTTGGTATCATTGGGTTGATTCACTCATCGCCTTAGCTTGTGTTAGTTGCTAGTAACTCTATGTGTTCTGTCAAGTGTATTGCAAAATCTATACAAATGAGAATAGAAATAAGTTAGTGCTGTTAACCAAAAGAAAGCATCGCCAGGTAATTTCATTTTTTAAATCTCCTTTTATTTATTAGGGGCCTGTCTTTACTGTTTCATTTTCAAAAGGCGGAGAGCAGTTTGCATCAGGAGGTGCCGATGCACAGGTTTGCAAATCTTTCATCTCCCTCTTTGACTTTAAGTAGGGTAAAAGAGTTCAAGACTTTAGCTAAAATGTTTGCGGTCATCTTGTTTGTTTGTCATGATGATTCTCAATTGAGTTTATGTTCTGATTTAATGCAAGAAAGTCAGCTGTCCTAGTTGGAACAGCATGAGTACTGAAAATTTTTTATAAGAAGTAACATTTATTTTATTTTGCTAATCTTTCCACTCAATTATCCACATAATGGACATTGATGATCTGATACTAGTGTCACACTTTCACTTGAATTGTAACCTAATTGTTTGTATATCTGATTTTTTTAAAATGGTCAGTTTCCTGAGAATGGTAAATATAAATTTTAATAGAGCAAATCAGCATTTATTTGAAATGATCAAAAGCCATTCATAGATTTATTGAACAAGACAGATGATCAAGACAAACCTATGGTATGGGGCTTACAAAAAGATTTTAAATAGTAAGTAATTTTCACAGTTGGAACTATCTTACAGCAAGTAAAGGGCTTGCCTTGCATGTGTCTCCTCCTACCCCAGGGTTTGGTCTGGGCATCCCACATGGTCCCTATTCACCACCACAAGTGACTCCTGAGTGCAGAGCCAGAAGTAACAACTGAGTACCACCAGCTGTGGCCCCAAACCAAAATAGTAATATTAATAAGTCATATTCTGGATAGGAATTTTTATTTTATTTTTTATTAGTGAAACACCATGAGGTACAGTTATAGACTTACAAATTTTTGTGCTTGGATTTCAGTTATACAATGATCAAGTACCCATTCCTCCACCAGTGCCCATTTTCCACCACCACGGGTCCCAGTATCCCTCCCATCCCCCATCCCCACCATCTCACCCTGCCTCTGTGGCAGGGCATTCCCTTTTATTCTCTCTCTCTCCTTTTGGTTTCTGTGGTCTGCAAGAGAGGCATTGAGTGGCAATCATGTTTGGTCTATAGTCTACTTTCAGCATGCTTCTCCCATCCTGGGAGGATCTTCCCAACACCCTTTTTTTGGTGCTCCTTCTCTATCTGAGCTTCCCTTTCCCCCAGCACGTGTGGCTGGCCTCCAAGTCATGGAGCAAAATTCCTGGCACTAATCTCGGCCACTCTTGGGTGTTAGTCTCCTATTTTGTTACTTTATGTTCCCCAGATGAATGCAATTTTTCTGTGTATGGATAGGAATTTTAAACCAGGCATGAAGTCAATTTGAAGTTCTAAATCTCTTCTTTGTGTACTCTGAAAATAATATATCGAAAGTTGTAGAATTTTTACTCAGTTGACACACTTGTGTAGCCTTTGCACTATTATGAAGGATGATTCTTAATAGTCAATTTTTAAAACTTCAGTGATGTTTTATGTCTAAGTAAGTAACTGCCAAAGTGATTCATTTATAGGTGTTGTTGTGGAAGACCAACTTCGATGAATTTAATTATAAGGATGTTTCTAAAAGAAATCTCAAAAGATTGCATTTTGATTCATCACCACATCTTCTTGATATCTACCCAAGGACTCCACATTCCCATGAGGGGAAAATTGACACAGTTGAAGTGAGTACTCTGTGTATGTATTTTGCATCCTTAAGACATTTCTGGGTGACAGTTTATTGTCATCTCCTGCTTTCTCCTCCCTTCCTCTGCGGTCTCTTCTTATTCGCTCCCTCACTCCAGTTCTTTCTTTATAATTGACCTCTACTCTTAGGTATTTCAATTCATCTCAGGTACATACACATATATGTAAGTTTGTTTTTCTTAATTTTTAGGACTTTTGGACCATCTTCCAGATCTTTTTTCTAGCCATAGTTGATTATTTCTGTACTTGGTTTGCCTTGGCAGTATTTATTTTCATTTCTTTTATTTCTTTACTGTAATTTTTATCCTTTTTTTTACTTCATACCATCCTTCTACTTCTTCTAAATAAATGATTAACTTTTCTACTTTCTTTATTTCTACTTTCTGTATTTCTTCATATCAAACCTCCTCTTTAAAATAATTCTGTCAAAGAATATAATGCAATCTATTTTTTTGTTGATCATATTTTTCTGCAGTTTCTATACTTATAAATGCATCTGATAATCCCGTGTTACCATGTTTTTTTTTTCATGTGAGGTGTTGGGCTACTCTTAATGTAACTAATGTCGTTTTCTGCAATTTGATGCATGAGGTGTATTTTGATTAGAATATTTTTCTTTCTTTCTTTCTTTCTTTCTTTCTTTCTTTCTTTTTATCCATTTTAAAAAATTGACTCTCCGGTGTTTTTATTTATTTTTTTAATTAAAAATTATTTTTGGTTTTGGGTCACACCCAGCAATACTCCAGGATTATGCCAGGCTTTGTACTCACAGGCCTGGGGGACCATATGGGATCCTAGGGTCCACTGCATGCAAGACAAGCACCCTACCTATTGTACTATGTTTCCAGTCCCTCAGATGTTTTAATTGTTTTTAATTCCTGTGACAAAGATATAGGCTGAAGCCAATCTTACTCCTAAGTGGAGTTTCCATGATACCATGCTACTCAGCACTGGATACTCAAGCCATTTTCTCTGTGATTTCCTGTGGGTCACCTCCCTTTGAGAAGACTGAATTTCCTTTTAATATCAACAAGACATCTGAGTGGCTCTGACCGTGCAGTCAGAAAGCAGAGAAACTGTCTGAGGCAATTTGTATGACTCAGTCACTAGGTCAAGATGTCCCCTAGACTGCCGCCCCGCACGCAAAGCTCTCAATCAGATGCATTTTAAAAGTGTTATTAGTATGTCCTATTGAAAGCTGACTTTTCATCATGGAATTAGTACTGAATGTTGAACATTGTGACTGAATTTTGCTCGTGACCATAAGAGAATTGATCTCTTAACAGTAGTAGTAGTAACAGTAAGAGAATTGGTCTCTGAACAGTAGTAGTAGTATTAGTAACTATAATATCTGGCACAGAGAGACTTATTGGGCTGGAGTGATAGCACAGCAGGTAGGACATTTGCCTTGCACGCAACCGACCAGGGTTCAGTTCCTCCGCCCCTCTCCGAGACCCCAACAAGCTACCGAGAGTATCTCGCCCACATAGCAAAGCCTGGCAAGTTCGCCTTGACATATTCGATATGCCAAAAACAGTAACAAGTCTCACAATGTTACTGGGTCCACTGGAGCAAATCAAAGAACAATGGGAGGACAGTGACAGTGACAGAAACATAGAAATTGAGAGCCCAGCAAGATACCGAGAGTATCTCGCCCACACGGCAAAGCCTAGCAAGCTACCTGTGACATATTTGATATGCCAAACACACTAACAAGTGTCACAATGGAGACATTACTGGGCCCGCTTGAGCAAATCAATGAACAATGGAAGGACAGTGCTTAAGATTATTGTCAAATCTTTAAAACTCAGTGAAGCAAGCACCATTTTGATTCCATGAAAAATGAAAGCACTTGTAGACTGAACTAGAATTTCAACACAGGCACTCTTCATTGCATTCTCTACTTTTAGAACTTTTAAAGCTGCAATACTTGAATATAAGCAAAATTAAATTACATCCTCTTAACAGGTGCTACATATCTATGCAGTTTGTCTGTGCCTTTTAGGGTCTGCAAGAATGAGTATGGGGGCATAATTCCTCATTCTTCATAGTTTGTTAGTAGCAGGCTTTGTGTTCCTGGACTCCTCAGTACCCAGAACATTTAAGCTAACTACTTCCATGACAATGGGGCCTTCAATTGGATCCCTGTAGTTTTTTTTTTCTTTTTGGATCACACCCAGCATTGCACAGGGGTTACTCCTGGCTTATGCACTCAGAAATTACTCCTAGCGGTGCTCAGGGAACCACATGAGATGCTGGAAATTGAACTCGGGTCAGCTGAGAGCAAGGCAAACGCCCTACCCGCTGTGCTATCACTCCAGCCCCAGTGCCCTGTTCTTTGATAGAGAACCTGACCTCTCAAAGGCAGCCTACCCCATTTCTAAGTTATCATTTTTCCTTTAATGGAGTTGGGGAACTAGAGGATGCTGTTTGGTATTCCTAGTGAATTACCATGTAAAGAACTATGCTACTCCCTCAGCCTACTTTTGTTATGGAAAAGGCTAATTGTATAAAGGAAGAATTTTCAGCTCCATTTAATGTACATGGCAACAACTCCTGCCGTCACTGTCACTGTCACTGTCTTCCCATTGTTCATCGATTTTCTCGAGCGGGTCCAGTAACATCTCCATTGTGAGACTTTGTTGTTACTGCGTTTTTGGCATATGGAATATGTCACGGGGTGCTTGCCAGGCTTTGGCGTGTGGACGAGATACTCTCGGTGGCTTGCTGGGCTCTTCGAAAGGGGCGGAGGAATTGAACTTGGGTCAGCCATGTTGGCTGCGTGCAAGGCAAATGCCATACCCTCTGTACTATCGCTTCAGCCCAACTCGTGCCGTATTACCAAAAAAAAAAAAAAAGAAAAGAAAAAATGCCATTAGTTACATTAAGAGTAGCCTAACTTGTAGAAGCTAAAGGACTTCTCTGTGAGAGATGCTGATTTGGATTGTTGTTGATGTTGTTGCTTTGTTTCTTTGAACCACACCTGGTGGTGCTCAGGGCTCCCGAACTCTGCACTCAGGGATCATGTCTGGAGGTGTACAGGGACCGTACGAGGTGTCAGGGATTGAAACTGAGTTGACTTTGAGCAAGGCAAACACATTACCCACCATGCTTTCTCTTCAGCCTCTGATACATATATATGTATATATGTATATATGTATATATATATATTTTTTTCTTCTCCATATGATTTAGAGTTTCTGGAGCCATTCTGGTTTGATTTTCAGATGATAAAACCAGATTGTGTTTTTCATAGGTCAATAACTGCCTCTCTACGCTAGGTGGCAGTAGACAAAAGAGAATCAAATGTTTGCAAGCTATCTCCTTGCACGGCTGGCCTGAGTTTGAGAAGTGGTATAGTTAGATATCCAGATAGATTGCAGAGTCCCAACATTGAACACAAACCCCAGTAATCAAACATGCCTGGGCCTCGAAGGTCTACATGTCTGTTGGTTGTGATATAAAGCGCATTTCAGCCTGCAATCTAGTACACGGGGCGGCTCTTTTCTCAGATTTCCTGCACCTTCCGCAGGTTGATTTTTTTTTTCTCTTTGGGTCACACCCAGCGATGCTCAGGGGTTACTCCTGGCTCTTCACTCAGAAATTACTTCTGGCGGTGCTTGGGGGACCATATGGGATGTCGGGGATTGAACCCAGGCTGGCCACATGCAAGGCAAAAACTCTGCCTGCTGTACTATCGCTCCCGCCCCGTAGGTTTGCCTAACTTTGTCAAACTTTTCACTTCCGCTGCAGTGCAGGTGGGTCATGTCAGTGTCTGCTTCTATCCTAAGGAATGTTCTATCCCTCATCTCTGACTGTTTGGTTTAATAAACCCATTTTTCAGGAGCCTTCTGGAGCTGTTTTTTCTGCCTAGGAAACCTCTCTTACCAAGTGCCTTGTCAACACTTTCTTCTCTGAGCTTCTTCAGTGGACTTAGAGTTGACACCGTTGATCTGATGGAGAATTTTTGCTCTTTCTGTTGCCTTTCTTTCCTTCGTTGTATTCATCATGTTTAATAAATATTCAGCTATCTCTTTGCTCTTATCTTTAATTTTCTACATATGTTTGAAGGTAAAATTCTATATTATTTTGGATGGGCTTAAACATATAAATTAAATAAAATTATAATGCTTTCTGTAACCTCGTATTTTTTCACATTTCAGAGAGGTTTCTACACTATTTAGCCTACCAACCTCTTTTCAGAAGGGAAATCTACCCTCCATATGAAAATAAACATTAAGAGCACCCATGAAAACTAATACCTATCACCACCTCTCCCTGCCATCATTCCAGCACCCTCAGAGTGCTGGATATAATATCGTCCACTTGGGGAAAGAATTTAATACTGAAGTCCAGGAGGCTTGCACTGTGGATTTTGAATCCGTAAATTCATGCCAGTGCACATTATTGTGTTTCATTCATTTTTACAACTGTATAGAATTCTGATGAATTTGCCACAGAATTAAGACCGAAGACTTATCTGTTCTACTGTTGACAAACATTTGGGGGTTGTGTGTGTGTGTGTGTGTGTGTGTGTGTGTGCACGCATGCGCATATTTGGGATACTACAAATAGAGCTACTATTAACAATGTCAGCAACACTGACTTTCTGGTTTTCATAGTCTAATAGTAGTATTTATTTTCTTTCTTTATTTTCTACTGGTGTTCCTAGTCATTTGTCCATCTGTTGATTAGCTGCCATGTTTTTTCTTCTATAATTTCTTTACCTGGATTTGCATTCCTTTTTACTTGGTTGTGTATTTTTCTTGGATATTTTAGATATTTGTGCCATTTTAGGCATATGGCCTCCTGTTCTACTAACATTTTGGTGTTCCTTGCTAAGCAGAAATCCTCCATTTTGATTTAATAAAAGCATTATTTTTTTCCTTGGCCTTCTGGATTTGCTTTGGCAGTGTTTTAAGAAATTCTCAAACACATATCATGGAGACATTCTTGTACATTTACTACTGGTAACTGTAGCTTAAACAAGCATTTTGGGTTTCTAATTTATCTGTACTTCTCTTATGTACTTAACATTAGTCAGAGATTCATAGAGAACTAGTTTCCTCAACCCTAAATGGTCCTCCCCCTCCTTCTCCTCCTCCTCCATTTTAAAATAGACATCACTGTCACTGTCACTGTCCTCCTGTTGTTCATCGATTTGCTCGAGCAGGCCCAGTAAAGTCTCCATTGTGACAATTGTTACTGTGTTTGGCATATCGAATATGTCACGGGTAGCTTGCCAGGCTTTGCCGTGCAGGCAGGATACTCTCAGTAACTTGCCAGGCTCTCCGAGAGGGGCAGAGGAATCGAACTAGGGTCGACCATGTTGGCTGCATGCGAGGCAAACTCCCTACCCACTGTACTATCGCTCCAGCCCGAAGTAGACATTAGTCCTGGCAATACTTGGCTTGGTGATGTGCATCTGATGGTCGGTGCTTGGGCCCAGTGCTAGGGTGCTGGGTGGGGGGTTGCCCAGAGATCACCAAGACCACTTCTGGTGGTGCTCAGAGATTATCCAGTGATCCCAGGTCAGGCAGGGAGTATAGGAATCCAAATCAGGACTCCAAGACCCCAAGCAAGGGTGGTGTGTCTTTTGCCCCTTTGAGTGACTTCTGGCCTGAATTCTTCCTCCTAGTTATTTTTGGTATAATTTTTAAACTATTTAGATAACTTGTGAGTTCTTTATGGTAAGTCTATTTATTTAAGACTTCTTTACTGTCTTTGAATTTTGTTTTATATTAAATCTGCCCCCCTCCTCCATTAAGGTCTTTGAGCATCTTTGTATGCTTATTCTGATGTATTTTAAATTTTTAATGATATTGTTAGTGATGTCTTTCTAATATTTACAAAGGCATTTTTTAACTCAAAACTAAAGTGCAGAAATGCAGTTAATTTTGTTACATTAATGTTGGCGCTAATAAACTCTCTTATCAATTCTAATGTTTTAGCAATAGATTCATTATGGATTTCCCCATTGATAATTATCTATTAGTGACAATTTTATTTCCACTATCCCAATTCTTACAATAATATGTTTTATTTCCTTTCTTTTCTTAATGAACTGGCTAGGATTTTTTTCTGCATCCTTGAGGAGGTGGGTCATTTAATTTTATTTCCAAAATAACTTTATAAGTGAAGTTAGCTGATTTTATAATGTAAAATAAACTTTTTAATACAAACCTGGGAGAGATTTGTCTTATGACGTTTTCTAGGTTAATTTCTTTTGTTAGTTTAAAATCATTTGCCTTCTTGCTAATAAATATACCAATATATTTTAATTTTAGAACATATTAAGAATGTTCTAGTGGTTGTTACAAATGGCACTCAGTTGGATATGATGTAAAATCTAACATTGACTTGTTTAATGTATGTACATAGATTAATCCAAAGCTTGATGTAATCGATATGCAGACCTCTACGCCCCCTGTTGTCGACGTCCTGTCTTTTGATTCTACCATGGTAAGCAGACTTTGACAGTTAAGTGGTATTTCATTATTTGGAATATTCTTCCCCCCCCCCCCCTTAAAAGATAATTGAGAAAGAAGATTAAAAGTGAATCTTAGAGCCTGGGTTTTAACAGAAACAGTGGGAAAAAAAGTCCTATTTACAATGTGTCTAAGTGACCACAAGGGGGAGCAGCATCCATTTTCAGGAATCCATAGCCTGAGTTCATGGAACACACTGTTATTCCTGGGGACAGATTTATTCAGATAAAGAGACTATCGTCTCCTGTAAACCTGCCCACATGTGACATTTCTTCTGCTCTCATGAAACAAAAGGCGCCAAACATACTTTAGTCTTGTCTTCAGAGGGATTAAGACAGGCATCTCCTTTTGTGAATCATTTCTGATGGATTATTTGGAAATATAGTACTTCCAATGCTTGGAATTTTTTTAAATAAAAATTATAGGTATTGTGTATTCAGGGATTTAAAATATTTGGAGTCTCAGCCTTTCATTTTGAGTCTATCTTTGCAAGGAGAGAATTGCTGCTCTTGGTTCCACTCTTCATAAGAACGGGGGAGCAAATGACATCTTTGATGACACTGTTATGAAGGTGTCAGTATTGTTAATATTTGGTGGAAATTTTTAATGTGTGGCCAATCCCCCCTCAGCCCATAAGTAATCTTCATATTTTAACTTTGTAAACTTTATAATGGCTCTCAAGTTACTGTATTTGTTGCAGAGGAATTCTGTAGAGAATTATGTCATCCTAAGTCTGTTCTATACCAGAAAGAACTCTGGTCATGAAAGTCCATCAGAGTTAATCCAATAGCAGAGAAGATTCCTTGGTCTCTCCTATTTAATTCTCCAGTAAAATGAACTCAGCCAGCCAACCAAGGGACAGATTAAAGAGGCTTTGAGAATCACCGCTCATATCTAGGACCTTACGCAAGTCTGTGATTTTGTACAAAGAATGTATATATCTGCAAAATAACCTTCATATCTCTGGATAGATCACTTTCCTGATTAAAGATTATTAGACCCTATGTTCCCTACCATACTGCTTAGTTCATTGTATAGCGTCAAAAGAATTTATGGTCAATAGACTACTCAAGGGCTGGAGTGATAGAACAGTGGTAGGGCGTTTGCCTTGCACACAGCCTACCCTGCCAACTTGGGTTTGATTCCTCCGCCCCTCTCGGAGAGCCCGGCAAGCTACCAAGAGTATTTTGCCCGCATGGCAAAGCCTGGCAAGCTACCCGTGACATATTTGATATGCCAAACACAGTAACAACAAGTCTCACAACGGTGACGTTACTGGGCCTGCTCGAGCAAATTGATGAACAACAGGAGAACAGTGACAGTGACAGTGACAGACTACTCAAAAGGTTTACTATGAAATGTTAAGATTGTGGTGACTGGGTTTTTTTTGCCTCTGTGAGCTAGAGGGAACCAAAGATGGGTAGGTCTTGAGGTGTAGTACCTATCTGTCAATTAAAATTGTTTTTCAGACTTAGAGGAGAACGTAGATCATCAAAAATAAAAAAAAAAACATGAGAACTTAGACTCACTCTTCCTGACAGTGTCCTTTAAACGTTGCAAGGCTGTATGACCCAGGGAATCTGGATGTTTTTGACAGAGTGTGTGCTGTGTCCAAGGAATTAACTACCATCGAGCAAGTGGTAGCAGGTTTTCTGTCCATTTATGGCAATCATAGGTGCCAAAGTCTATAGAACCTTAGCTCAGGAGTATGGTGTCTATGGGACTTTGAGAAGGCAATTCTTTATAAAAGCACACAAGTGTCAGTTTTATTATGAATCAGTATTAGACTAAAGAGTTAAATTGTTAGTTCCATAAAGGAAAGTATTAGGTTAACTTACATGAATTGCTATCACGAAGGCAAAAACAATTTAATTTCTCAGAGTTTGATTCCAAAGGAACAAAGTAAAAGGACTCTGACATTACTCTAAGTTGTAATTCTTGATGCTTAAAAACAAAAGATGGCAGGGGTATGGTGCCACCAGCAGGTCAGTCTGTACCTGTGAGGCGGGTGCATCAGCAGCCTGATGGCACCTTCAGACTTCCAGATACCCCAAAATTGCTGCTGTGCCTTTGGCCAGACCCCAAAAACTTGAGGCAAAGTTTACCAAGAAAGTAAACGGCCAAAAGTTAGGTATGTGGGAGACACACCCACAAACCACCTCCAGCTCAGCTATATAATTGGAGACATGGCCTCCCTGGTTCCTGATTGAACTGCTTAATGGCCATGATCCCAGAGACTCAGACAAATCTTAGAACCCAGAGGCTCTTGGCAGAGATGTGTCTGGTCCCCGCAATGGGTTACCGGCGCTGGACCTCCCCAGGGGGAGAAAGGGTGTTGTCCCTCCACCTGCTCCCCCTTGGTGGCTGATGGCTGCCATCTTCCAGGAGCCATTGGACAGTCAGGTTTGGACCTGCAGTGACAAGGCACATGCAGCTTCACGGGATGGGGTGGAGCCAGCCCTTTCCTCCCCACCCCAACGAGACCCCTGAGTTGCCACCCACGAATGGCCTCTCTGGCTCCTGATCAAGCTGCTTAATGGCCATGATCCCAGAGACTCAGAAACAAATCCGGAAACCCAGCAGCTTTTGGCAGAAATGTGTCCGGTCCCTGTAGTAGGTTACCGGCCTCGGGCCCCCCAGGTAGGAATAGGTTTCGTGCCTTGGCCTGTTCCCCCTGGTGGCTCGGTGGCCACCATCCTCCAGAGGCCACTGGACAGTCAGATTTGGGCTCGCAGTGACGAGACACACGGAGCCTCACGGGATGGGGGCGGAGCCGGCCCTTTCCTCCACGCCCCAACAAGACCCCAGGTTGCTGCCCACGAACAGCCTCTCTGACTCCTGATCAAGCTGCTTAACAGCCATGATCCCAGAGACTCAGGAACAAATCTCGGAACCCAGCAGGTTTTGGCAGAAATCCCTCCAGATTTAATTGTTAAAATTTCAGAATTCCAAAATCGCACAGCCACGACTGTGGCCACATGACATCATATGTTATTCATAACCAGCAATAGAAAACAAATTGTCTACTGTTGCCTTTTCGGCAGATCTGTGTGTTGGGGTAAAATAGTAATGGACCCAAATAATAATGGTGGGTCTGGTGTCAAAATATTGAATGTAATCAAAGTAGAGAGAGAGTAATATGGAAATTATCTGCCCCACAGGTAGGAGGAGGGTGTGGGATGGGGGGTATACTGGGGTTTTGGGTGGTGGAAAATGGGCACTGGTCAAGGGATGGGTGTTTCATTGTACAACCGAGACTTAAACCCAAAAATTTTGTAACTGCTCTCATGGTGATTCAATAAATAAAATTAAAAGAAAGGGGGGGGGGAGAGGAAGGTATAGTTCATGCCCAAATCAATCAGCCTAATCAATGGCTAAATAAATAGCAATACTCCTACATCAAAAAAAAATGGGCCCGAGAGATAGTACAGTGCTTGCCTTGGACATGTCAACCCGGGTTCAGTCCATGGCACTCCATATAGTCCCTTAAGCACTACCAGGAGTGTTTCCTGAGTGCAGAGCCAGGAGCTACTCCTGAGCACTGTCAGGCGTGGCCCCAAAACTGGAAGGGAAAAAAAAAAACAGAAGAAAGCAACAATTTATTTGTAATATATTACAAATATATTAGGTTTAGGGATTAGGTTGCTGAAATCCCATGTAGGTATCTAATCTGGCAGATAAATATTTACCTCCAGAAAGTGTATAAAGTCTCCAGTCTTTGTTTATTTTCCTAATTCATTCTCTGATTTCATTTCTATAAAGAATATCTTGGGGGCTACCATGATAGTAGAGCACTACAGTGGGTAGGACACCTGCATTGCACACTGCTGACCTGGGTTCCATCCCCAGCACCCCATATGGTTCTCCAAGTCTGCCAGGAGTGACCCCAGATAGCAGAGCCAAGAGTAAGCCCAGAGCCCTAAGCTGGGGATGTGGTCCAAAAAGGAAAAAGAACCCACAAACAGTAACAAGAAAGTATCTCTACAGTGTTTTCCTTTTGGCTCACTGATAGAAAATTGTTTCTTAAAATTACTTAAAATTGTTTCCCTCCCATTACTGTACAAGTAACTTTTTTTTTTTTTTGCTTTTTGGTTCACACCCTGCGATGCACAGGGGTTACTCCTGGCTCATGCACTCAGGAATTACTCCTGGCGGTGCTCGGGGGACCATATGGGATGCTGGGAATCAAACCTGGGTTGGCTGCGTGCAAGGCAAACACCCTGTGCTATCACTGCAGCCCCACAAGTAACTAATTTTCAATCTCTAGTCTCTTTACACACTGGCAAGTGTTGCTTTGACAAAACATTGGATTCTTCAGAGAACTGAAGCTGTTCTTACCTCCTTTCCCACAACCATGAGAATATGAATATAATTTTAAATACCTTTGTTTAGAATTAGGAATGTATTTCAGGCCAAATTAATTCTTTACAATAGCTAGAGTTTTGTAGTTGCATTATAGAAAAATAAAAGCAAGAGTCCACAGTATTTCTTTGCTCTCTCAGTCAAAATAGTTCTTCCTAAAGAAGTCATTACATCAGATGCTAAGAGGGAAGTCATGCTTGCTGTCCAGCCTCAAGAAATATAAAATCTAGCAAGATAGAAATAACCACATAAAGAGAAAAAGATACTTTCAGTATGCTCGCTCATGTGCTTGTCAAATGAAAGTCTATTAATCAGAGCCTTCAGAAAAGAGCTCCAGGAAACTAAAGAGCTTCTCTAGAAGAAATTCTCTGTCTACTGCCTGATTTAACTGGACATGGGTAGGGGTTTTAATGAGGGCATTCCCAGTAGGGAAAGCAAGATGTTAATACATACCACAAAAGTAAATGGAAAACAAGCACCCCAGTAATGAAAATGCATTAGTCTAGTTTGGTTCTCTAAACTGCCTGAAAAATGTATTCAGGTCTCACACAGGCTTCCTGCTCAGTATTTACTAACATATCTCTACACTCGCTCTTTTGGACTTAAAAAGAA